CTGCCTCCAAGAAATACACCTTAACATCAGAGACAGACACCACCTTCTGCTTCCTAAAACACACATATATAAAATGAATTTAAATGAAGTTACCAGATAATACCACAACTTAACATCAGATGCTACCCAGTTATCAGGAATGATTGGCCAAAGAGGCCCTGCAGACTCTTCCCAAGCAGTAGCACAGGTTATTGCCAGTGGTCACCCTCCATGACCAGACACGATTGGGGAGGATGCCACATTCTTACCTCATCAAACATGAAGAAACTGGCTGCCAACCAAATGGGAGCTTTGCTACTGCCACCTGAAGTTCAAATGCTATAAGGTACTATTCACGCTACTAGAAAAGAGAATTTATCATCACCCTCACCCAGCTACAAACACAGTGAGCTAAAGCAGGAACCTGTCTGCAAGATATGCCCACTGACTCAGCAGCGACACATGGTGTGGAAGGAAAGGAACCAAGCCCTTTTTATTGGAGGTAAGGCCCACTCCACATCATAGAACACACACCTGGCAATGCTAAGAACTTGAGACCAGATAGGTCATGCATGGGCCACAGGGGAAAAATCTACATTAGTGTGAGCCTCACCAAAGGAGGCTCTTCTTGCTTTAGATGGTAATTAACAGAGACCACATCTGAAGAGTGTGAAGAGAGAGAGAAACTTTGGAACAATCAGCCATAAATGGGATATCTTTATCACATCCCTCCCCATCAAGGCTCTAAGATCTATGCAGAATACAGGACCCAAAGATTTCAAGACCCAGAGGTAGCGGACAACAGCAAGAAAAAGTGTTTTCAAGGCACAACAGGACCGATGCACACATGAATTCACAGAGACTGTAACAGGACACACAAGAACTGTGTAAGCTCGAGTCAGACAAAATGCCAGCAAAGAGAAAGGGAAGTGGGCACAAAGCCTCAGCTCTCGCCAAGAAGCTATTTGCAACTGGTAGCTGCTGGAAGAGGGAAATCAGCTTTTTTCAATTGAATGATACTAGATACATCAACCAAACTCCAGTACTGGCTCAAGACCCAGGAGTAAATGATGATCACAAAATGGATTCCATGACTTTTGTGCTTGTGTGTGTGTGTGTGTGTGTGTTGTGTGTGTGTTTTCTTTAAGAAAGAGAAAAAAACATGAAGTTGGTAAGGAGGGAGAATCTGGGAGGAGTTAGAGGAGGGGAAAGAATATGGTCAAAATACATTGTATGAAATTCTCAAATTAAAAAACGATTTTTAGAACAGTGAAAATACTTATATCAAAGCCACATAACATTCTCTACTAATATATGCTTTTCTCTTTGAGATCATGATATAATTACATTTGTCCCTTCCTCCTCCTCCTCTAAATGTTCCAATATACCCTTCCCTGCCTTCAACTTCATAGACTCTTTTTTCACTAGTTATTTCACACACACACACACACACACACACACACACACGTGTGTATACATACATACATATATACACATATATACATATGTATATATGTATATATTCCTAAATACAGCATGTTCAGCCCATGTGTTATTTGTACGTACATTTCAAGGGCTGGCTGGCACTGGATAACTGATTGCTGTACTCTCCCCTTAGGAAGAACACCCCTCCCTCCCCCAGCTTTCCTCAGTTGTCTGTAATTCTTTGTGTAGGTTGAGACTTCATGGGCTTTTCCCCATCCACTTAGGCATGTCTACTGTGGTGTCCTTATTCAGTCCACATTTGGGCTGTCATGTCAGTGAGACTTTATTGTTGAAGTTGGGACATGACTAGGAGACACAAACTCACAGCAAACTTTCTGACCGTCTTTGCTCTTAAGAGCATCTCATTAATACAAAGACCTTGCCTCTCCAGCTTCTTTTTGTTTGGCTTGGCTTTGCTTTGCGTGTTTTGGGACAGGGCTTTGATAGATAATGCAGGCTACCTTCAAACTTGTGATTCTCTTTCCTCAGCCTCCCACATGCTGGGATTACAGGAGTGAACATATGCAGCTGCTTCTGTTTTATTATGTTACCATAAGATCTTAAAAGTAATTAAACTGAAGCTATTGAAGTCGAGCTCACAGCAATATGCATATAATCATTAGATATAAAGTTTTTAGAGCATTTATCCTATTCAGAATAAGAAATAATCCTAACATTAGAGGCTGGCATTTAAAATAAGTAAAAATACTTTCAGTTTGTGATTATAATGAGGGCAAGAATTGTCTTCAATATATGCATAATCCTTCTTGACTCCAGAGAAAGTGCTATTACAGCTTCTCTGAAACCATCTTCCTAACAAAATGACTTAACAAACTCAACTTTGAATCTCAGAAGATGGAGATGAACAGAACTCACTCTAAGGGCACTGTGGGCACAGATACGCTACCTCCAACTGGAAAATCATCTTTTTAAAAAAGAGTATTACGAACAAGGAAGGTATTAGAGAGTAAAATGCTTTCATGACCTGCCACCTAGATAAAATGCCATGCATTTAAAAATAAACAAAACTCTGATAACATTGTTTGTATTTCTAAAAATTGGTATGACTTAATTATACTTAATCATGGATACATAATTAACTATTACCAGAACACAGTCCAAGAGTGGAGTTATGTGAGGAGAATTCTGAAAGCTTGTGAGAAGACTCCAAGAAAACCAGACAAGAGTTTTGTGAGCTCAGTTTCTTCAAAGCACAGAACTGATCTTGGAATGTCTTTCGTGACCCCAGGTGTAGCTGATAGGCGGGAGTTAACTTTGTGTTGTTCATTACAACTGACTATTGCTATTTGTCTACATGTCTCTATGGAAAACATGTTTTTGCCACACGTGGCTTGTCCTTGTGATTGGTCACTTCACTCATGTGACTCTTCTGAACCCTCAGAATACAAACTGTCTGATGTTCTCAATAAAGTTGGCTTCTTGACTTTCATGCTCATTTCCGGATATGCTCACTATCTAACAAGTCAATTCCCTACATACTGTCCAATTGTGCATCTCTCACTAAATGCACGTTGTATAAAAACAGCAATTAGCACTTTCATCCCTTTTCTTTTTGAGTGAAAATCTTGTTGTGATCTATGCTAAGTCATATGACCATATGACTGAAGTGATGGAATTACAGGCATGGACCATGAGAGAAATACAGAATAGTCATGATTCTTATTTATTTATTTATTTATTCTGCGCTGAACCACAAAGCACACAACAGAGGAGTCAGTTTAGGTGATTCAGAATGAAACCCATGTTGCACCTGTAAATATATGTGTGCAGTGACTGCTTGCACCACTTCATAGTTGCCTATCAACTGTTTTGACCATGTAGTACGACAGTGTCTGTATGGAAAGACCTTTTGTCAATATTTTTTTTTTTTTTTTTGAGTTATGGTCTCTGTTATGTAGCTCTGACTTCCTAGAGCTTGGTATGTAAAACAGGCTAGCTTCAAACTCCCATAGAGAGACTTGCCTGCCTCTGCCCTCTACTGCTTAAAGATGTGCACCATCACACCCAGACAAAATTAACATTATTTTCAAAGTCTTCAATTTTCTCTGGCATTAGCCTTCAAACAATATGATCGGTACTTTGAAGGGCCATATCTCCTCTTCTGAATTAATAACAGGCTGTTCTGTTATCTTAAATTTTCAACTCTGATCCTAGATTCTGCTATATTACATATTAAGTAAACAAGCAAAAGAGTCCTTGTAATGCATTGTCTAATGTTCAACAGATACAAGCACGAAGGAACTCGCTGGACCTGGAATCAAAATCTAGTCTTCTGGGAGAGAAATGAAAGGAAGGGCTAAAAGAGAAGGGGGGTACAGAAGAGGGAGGAAGAAAGGAGGACAGGGGGGAATGCGAGAGGGAGGAGAGACAGGAGAGGAAGAGATTGTTTAACAATTAGTCCTTTGATAAAAGCTCCCAAATACTGATCCTCGGATTCATATTCATTAGCTAAAAAGACAATCCATTTTTCCTGGGCTACTGAAAATCACTGTCAGGAGATGTGAAACAGGAGCATCTTTAAAATCCTCCCTAAAGTATATACTCTTTAGGGAAAACAGAAGTGAATGGCTCTTGACTAAAACAAATGAAAAGACATGGTAAGCAGCCTCCAATACAAAACAGCATTCTTTTAGAAAAGCACTAAAATAGGAACTAATATTAGAGTTATTCTTACTGCAATAGCTATTCATTTGGCAAATTTCCATCAGAAATAAATGAAAATCAAATGTGGACTAATTATAGTAGATGTTAATATTGCTCGTTATTTAGAGGTTTCCTCTCTTCCTGCGTACATGGTTAGACATTTTAGACTCCCCTGCATGTAGTTAACATCTTGTAATAAATTTGCATCAATAAGCTGTAAGCACAAGTGACTTAACTCACTTTTCTCTTATGCAATTAATAACAAGTATAACCTGTGAACACTTCTTTAAACTGTTTTAAAGTCTATTAACAACTAAATGAAATGGAATACATGTTTTTAATGTTTCAAGTCATTGTTAGAATATATTACCATATTCTCAAATTATGTTTTATAGTCTAATAAAGTATTCAGTGAAAACAGATTTGATGGTCAGATAAGTTCTGTTAACAGTGTTAGGGTCTAATCATGCTTGGGTTCTCAGGATTATTACAATAAACAAATACTCTTAGCCACTAAAAATAACTCATCCAAAAAATTTTGACCAAACAATGATTTTAGGAGTTAATACCTCTTACTGTCTTTTAGCATTTTTTGTCTAAAGACACTCTAGAATAGTCTACATTGTTGGAGAAATATATTTTTCCTGGGCAAATATGACTTACATATTCATTAAGCAAGGGGATTACCCGTCCTTTCCCATTAGCCTCTGTTATCCTTGTTTTCTCTTTAGGTTTCCATGGAGGAACTAGTGAACTTTACTCTGGGTTTCCCATCTGCAGACACATCACTGCACAGGAAGAACTCTTCCTTACACTCTGCGGTTATTGTGCATCAAAGGGAATATCTGGTCTGTGCAGACCAGCTTACTTACGTCTGGGGCTCCTTTGCATTTTGTTGTTTTTGCTGGGGCTGAAGAACGTTAGTTACCAGTTCAGTGATCCCACTAAAGGGAAACCACCTGTTTAAATAAGCAAATAATGTGACTGAAAACCAAAATAACAATGGAGACTCAATGCTCTCTACCCAAAATAATTAAACACACCCACACACACACACACAGGCACAAAAGCTACAGCCAATGGAAATATGAGCTCCAGTTATCACCAGGCAATCAGGAGGAAGGGAAATTTAATTTGAACACTTAACTAGTCCACAAGCAGGCAGCAAAAAACTACATCCAGTCACTATGTGGATGAAGTAAGAAGCTGCAGGCAGCTCTCTTACAAGCAGAGAGTCAGAAAGCAGAAGACACACTAGCTGCAGCCTGTCCAGTATTAGTGGGAGCTAATACCACCAAAGGTGCAGAAAGCAGAGGGGGCAGAAAGAAGTACAGAAGTCCAGTCTACTGCACTCAGAACACATTTACTTACTGTGTCGCCTGTGCTTTGTGTTCTTCTTTGACCCTAAAAAAATAAGTTTGCACAACTGAGTGCACTGTTCTAAGCAGCAATTCCTACCTACGTATCTGTGGTCACATAGAATGGACCCGAAAATTAGGAGTATTACACAGAAGAGTTTAGTGCTACACCATACATAAGGACTGAGCATTCCAATCAATTTTACACAAGGGGGAAGACAAGCTGGCTCATTTGGTTTCTGCTTCGCTTGCAGTGCTAGGGGTTGAACATGGGCCATGCACATGTTAGACAGGCACACTGCTGCTAAGCTACAACCTCAGCCCAGGAAAAATTGTCCTTCTACTAAAACTCGGTTACTCTCTAAAGCAATGTTTTATTCACAGATTCTGCCACATATTTTTACATTAAGGTGCCATAGTAATATAGTAATAGTAACTAAAAAATAATTTCTATTTTTCTTTTTAGCTTATTTTTTAAAATAAATTGAAGGCTAAATATTTTAAATAAAACATAGGATTTTATAAACGATTGTTTAAAGTCTGTAATTAGTTTATTTATGCCTCAAAGAATAGATAAAAGGAACTGGAGGGGGTAATAGTCAATATCTCATAATAAAAAATACTACTTAAATACTGTATATTAAACTTAAAATAGCCATGCCAACAAAACTTCTTCATATAACTACAGCGTGCTGAAGATGAAGTTAAGCAAATATTATGCAAGTAACTATAATCAAATCAAGTGTTTCATTCTCAATTCTTCCAAATTCTACAGTCATCCAGAACTGAGCTGTCTCTCTGACTGGAGTAAGATTTTATATAAGCAAAATCCCGGTACGAACTGATTCATAAACACTCAGTCAATTTCTAGTGGATATGATATGAGTAACTAGACACACTCAACAACAAAACCTCCCACCTCAGGTGGCACCCTTAATGAATCACCCTTGGGATTAATATTACTCACTTCATATGTTCCCTTATTAGAGCCCAATTATTCACACCATAGACATTCATCTGCATACTCTTTTGATAATTTCCAGGGAATGAAGAAAAGATTGAGCCAATATACAGCTGTAGGTATGAAAATAAAATAGGACTGAATACTGAAAAGACTGAGAAGGATCTTACACAGGGTAGTGAAGACTGGTAAAGTGGACTAAAAACCTTCTTGAGAGATGCATCTACTCAAAGGAAGACCAAAAACTGGTAAATAAAATTTACACATAACATGGGATTTTTCATTACATCAATAATGTAAGCTAAGCCGTCTCTTTAAATTCAATTTGTTAGTTTTATAGTATGCAGTGGTTCATCATGCAAACTGAATTAAGCAACACTGTAGGACTCGTGAGGCACATCTCAGAAGGGCACTCCAGGACGGAAAGACTGCCCTGAGTGTGGACAGAACTGATAATACAGCAGACTGAGGGCACAGATGAGCAAAAGGAAGAGAAAGCCCACTAACACCGTGCTTTCCATTCACAGTAAGGTGAGCAGCCCTTCCCATGTGCTCCTGACACCAGGTAGTGTCAGGATCAGCAACAGATCAAGATAACTTTTAACCGAAAGCTATAGAAAGGATATAGAGGGCACAAAGAAACTGTCAGAATGTCAAAAATTTAACCCCTAAGCTGTCTGGCTAGAGCCTAGCAGGCTGTGGAAAGGAGAAGCAGACGATCAGAATAGAATTCTGAAGCACTCTGGTGACAAGTCCTGGAAAAGGAAACACTGTACCATTGCCTGGGCAAGCTACAAGGGATTGTAGGAAGTGCATTGCAGAAACTGTTGCAGTCTTCCAGGCACACACCAGGAAGAGACCTCCCAGACACAAAGGAAACACAGGCAGGCAAGCCTCCATACACCCTCACAGCCTCAGTGTAGAAAGCACCAGAGACAGGCTGTAATTGGCAGATGAAAAGGAGGAGCTCAGACTGGAAAATCTGCTAAAAGGTGACATCCTACACGGAAAATCTTCTAACTGGGAAAGCTGAATTACTGAGACAACCCACATGTACAGAATAAAACAAAAGTCAATCCCAGGAAAAGGACAAGCGGCACCATCCCAACTAGAAAGAAATGCTAAATGCCTTCTATTTAATCTTACTGTGTTTGTTTTTTGTATATTTTACACTTTGTACTTTAATTGACAATTGTGTTTTAGCTTCTGTGCTGAATGAAAAGGCATTTATGGATGTTCTTTCTTTCATTACCCCTGCTCAGCAAGGTTTTCTCTATTTCTCATATCCTAGCTTCTCTGTGTTAGAAAACATGAAAAATATACAGACATTATTTTTGGTTTTCAGCTTTCATTGGTGTTTGTGTATTTAATGAGTGACCCAAAAGAATTTTTTAATCTTTATTTATTAAAAAAAAAATGTAACTTGGAAGTGGTGGCACACACCTTCAATCTCAGCACTCTGGAGGCAGAGGCAGGCAGATTCTGAGTTCAAAGCCAGCCTGCTCTACAGAATGAGTTCCAGGACAGCCAGGACTACACAGTGAAACCCTGTCTCAAAAAAAAAAAAAATTATTTTAATTTTAGTTAATGTGTATGAGTTTTTGGCCTGCATGTGACTTGGAAGAACAGCCCATGCTCTTCACCTCTGAACATCCCCAAATTGAATCTTCTTTATCCAATGTGGCCCACAGAAACCAAAAGGCTAGATACCTCTGTTCTATACAACGATATTCATTTTTTTAACGTCATACAAAGTAAGAAACACATTTTATATGCAGCATATGCATTTGCACAAATGTAAACAACTAAAACGAAATTCTATTAAATTCTATTAAATAATAGTGAGTGAAATAGGCAGTAGCTTTGTCTTATTTTCCATATCATCTCTGTTCTTAAATGTTAGTTTTGGTGCTACTAAATTGATTTCATGGCCCTTAGTTTAAAAAACGCAATCTGTAATAACAGGTGAGTTGTAGCTTATTTACAGGCCAGTCTACATGCACTGGGTGTTCTTTGTGGCTTTCAGAATATTCCTAAAGTTCAGGAAACAGGCTGAAATTTTCAAACATTCAAATGATGAGGTGGCTTTATAATCACTCTTACACACGCATATAGACATGGCAGACTACTGTGTGTAGGTTCTAAGTCACTGTAATTCTGTGAGTTAAGCATTACAGAGGAGAAAGGTCTATCAAACCAGAAGGGAAGCAATAAAGCTGAACACAGAAAAGGAAATGAACATCAGTAGACAGAGAGGCAGGAGGTATGGGACCTACAGGGCTGACAGGGAAGCAAATCCTGGAAGATAAACACAGCCAGCAAGACAAGTGGAACCTGAAACAATCAGCTAAGCAGAGCTGGGGGAAGGAGGAGGGGAGCACACAAAGGAAGGAAACATGGCAAACAGAAAATACTGCGCACTGCCAGAAAGAAAATGGCACTTGGCAGTGGTGCATAGGACAAAGGGTATGAAGCTGTCTTCTATCTCTGAAGCTAGCAAAGAGCTAAAACTTCCTAGGTAGCTCAGTCGTTTGTTTTGTTGTTGTTGTTGTTGTTGTTGTTGTTTTGTTTTTTGGTTTTTTTTGTTTTTGTTTTTTGTTTGTTTGTTTGTTTGTTTTTGGTTTTTTGAAACCGAGTTTCTCTGTGTAACCCCTGGCTGGCCTAGAACTCCCTCAACTCACTCTCTAGAACAGTCTAGCCTCGAACCCACATGGATTCCCTGCTTCTTTGCCTGGGATTAAAGGCATGTGCAACCACCAACCAACATTATCCGTTGTTTTTGAAAACTCTGTTGAGTAGTACTCTTTTTCTACCAATATTTTTTTTATTAATGTATTTTTTACATTCCAATCCCAGTTCCCCCTCCCTCCTCTCCTCCTGCTCCCCCACTACACCCCTCCTTCCATCTAGTCCTCAGAGATGGTAAGGCTTCCCCTAGGAAGTCTAAGTCTGTCCCATCATCTCGTTGAGGAGGACCAAGGCACCTCTCCACCCCGACGCCCCTGTGTCTAGGCTGGGCAAGGTATCGCTACCAATAATTTTGACATGTTTGTATTAGAATGCTCAGCTGAAAATGTATGCTCTTTATCCATTTGATTCTTTCCACTGCCAGACTTATAATTTAATATCAACCACATTATTTTCTAATTCTTTGCAGATACCAAAGCTTCACACAAACAACTGTGTGTGGGAAGGAGTGATGCCCTTTTCATGAACAAACTATTAGTTTCCTATTACGGGAAACAGAGGTGTACTTAGCGGGTAAGAGTGCACTGCTCTTACAGAGGAGAGAGCCTGAGTTTGGTTCCCAGCACCTACACCATGTGCATCACAAATGCTGTAACTCCAGTTCCAGGGATCTAGGCCTCCCAAGACACACACATGGAGCATATAGACTCACATAAACACATGTTTTTTTAATTCATATTAAACAAAAGTTATCTTTTCACTTTTATTTTAGTAGTAAAAATTATTTCAGTAAAGTTCAAAAGATTAGTAATATAACTATTACAAAATAGGTACCGTCCAATAAAATAATTAAGCTTTGTCTTTAAAGAATTATTGAATTGTCTTTTCATTTTCGGTTTTTGTTTGTTTGTTTGTTTGTTTGTTTTTTGTTTTTCACAATCAATACTTATATAACATATTTAAGTTCAAATTTAAGCCAAATTTGAATTTATCAGAATCTTTCAGACATCTACATTTATAAGCAGAGCTAATATGCAACTTAGTAACTCACCAGCAGTTAGCTTGGTTGGCATTATTCAAATGCACCACAAAGAAAGGCCTATATAATAGTGATTTGCTGTAACTTTAGTTGGCACACTCCTAAATTAACTGACAGTGGGTAACCAAGTATTACATACAAGTAAATAATCTCAGTAATCAATAAGTTAGCAACATGTATATAAATATCAACTAAATAATTAAATATTTCATAAATTTATAAAGCACTAGTAATACCAAAGGAATTTTGAAAGTCAGAAATTATCCCTAATCAATTGACTTATTATTGAAGTGATGCATAAAGTTTTTTGTAAAATAATGTTGATGATGATAAGGTAGAAACAGGTTAAGATTCCAAA